CATTTTTACATAATCTGCCAGTTCTAGTTCAATTATGTACGGGCGGATGAGAACATGAACACAGGTAACAAAGGATGTACAATTCCAAATTTCAGTCAGTGAGAAATATTTCACAAATGATACTGGGGTAATTGATCAGTAATTGAATAGCTGCAGTAATGGGGGTTTTTTCTGTCCGACTGCAACATTGGGAATATATTTATATATAGGTACACTTCAGGAAATGAGTTGCCTGGAAACCAGACCAATTAGCAAGCTTGTGTTTATGTGCTCTTGTCTGTCCACATTTCCAAAGCCATACTTCTAACATGGGGCAGGTTTCATACGATGACGCCACTGAAGCATTTTCATCACGAGCCCGAAATTGCTGTAACTAATGTGGAGGGGTCTGTTGCAACAGTATTAAACTAACTGATGCTTCACTGTCACAGCTTTTCTCTGCATGTTGTATGTTGCATTGTGCTGTGTTAGCATTGTCATTGCTCTGATTTGTTTGGGGGCAGCATGGTGGTGCGGCTTCTTCCCACAGTCCAGAGACATTCGGGTTGGGGTTAGGTTAATTGGAGATTTCCTGTAGATGTGAAAGTGAGAGTGAATGGCTGTTTGTCTCTGTATGTTGGTCCTGTGATATGCTGGCCACCTGTCCAGGGTGTACCTCATATTTTGCCCCATGTCATCTGGGATTAGCTCCTGCTCCCTGACCCCCCTTAAAAGGAAAAGCAGTTTAGATAAGCTTAAACATTGAAATAAATTGAGAATTTTAAAAACTATTTTCCAGGGTGTGAAAACAAGAGAAACGAAAGAAAAAGGAGAAACACAAAAATAGCAGCAGTATATTTTTTTAATTTGAAGTTGTCTGCACTTTATATGACATGTCTACATTGTATTTTTATGTTATGGACCCCATGAAGTCGAGAGGCACACCCATGTGCTTCTGATGGGGATCCTTCAATAAAATAAAATAAATAAAATATCATGACTTTTAGTCAGCAGTATGGGTCAAGCTCCAGGGGACATCACTTCAACCCTGGGTCTAATGATTCTCCTGAAACCCTTACTGTCGGCCTTATAAACCTATGATTACATGAGAGTATACTGTGTGTATGCATGAGAGAGAGAAAGAGACAGAAACAGATGAAGAAACAGTCCAGTCATCAGATTTTTCAGTAGCTTCTCTGTGCAGCATCACTATAAACCGAACCTCTGTGACGGTAGCCGGCCATACAGTCATTAAAGGATTTAACAGGACCCTGGTCAGTGACTGGAGCACACATGCTGAGTGGCAACATTTCCTAATTACCATTCCGAGTTACTACCCATGTTGTTTTACACTCCGCCGTAACTCAGGCATGTGCTGACTGGGGTAAATCAGACTGTATATACAGTACGTAAGCAATATGCTGTACTTTATGGTGATAGTTGTGTGGAGTGATTGAGGAACATTAAGTTGTGTGTCAAGGCTACAGAGACGTGTTGTGGACGTGACAGTTTTTCCGCGCATAAACACACTGTGTGTTACGGCTTGGGGTTTATTTAGAGCTGCAACCTCTGACATTTAGATGTTTTGAAAGAATTAATATTCTGCTCGTGTGCAGCCAGAAAAAAACCCACTATTGACCATGACATCCACAGCATTTCCAGGAACATGTCTTCCCAGTGCTTGTTAGGCAGATGTCAGCCTGTCAGAGGTAATAATGCCCGAGTGTCTCATCGTGCCTGTTGACTACAAAAGGGATGTATTAACAACAGTGTTTCCCATCAGGCTTTGCATTCCTCTCCTTTCATGGACTACATTGGCAAAACAACCAACCGTGATTACCTACACAGTGGATGATGGGTGATCAATAGACTTTGCACATTAGGTGTAAAATAAAGGTGTTTTTTTCATGGGATTCTCTCCTGAGCTGTGCAGTAAGAAGAATAAATACAAAACTGTGAAATAACACTCATTCTCTATTATTTTAAGTGTTTTGATTCTAACATTTTCAGTCCAGTCAGCTCTAGATTATAGAATTAATTATGTCTCAACACTTTACGGAAAGATTTATTCTGTTCAAGTTCATGTGTCACTGCTCTAAGGACGTTCAACCCCTGAAAAGTTATGTGACAGATTAACAACTAGAATGAATGATTTGTATATGGGTATTAGGCTGGTTGCTCTCCAGTACAGTCACTTCTCCGCCATTTAAAAGCATCACACACCCCCAGTGAATCTTTTCCCGGCTCAATTTTGCAATGAAAAAAAAAACACATTGTTGAACTTGTCTGCCAGAGATTTCCTGTTGAGTCAAGGACTTGAATGCACCGTGTGGCTCTTGCACATTAATGCTTCCTGGAGGAGCGGAGAAGCTTTTAAATGGGATATTAGACCTCACAATTCTCTGGTAGGCGCTGCTGCCCACTGCAATTCAACATTGGATGAAAAGAACCCTGCACATTCCTTTTTTCCATTAGAATTGCGTATTCATAAACAATATTGTGATGAAATATACAACTTGGTTCTTTTATTTCATCCATCGTCCAACCCCCTGTAGAGTTTAAACTCATCATTTTGACTTTAGTAAACAAGAGATGATTGGTAACAATCTCTCGCATCCTGCAGAATAAAATGGGAGCATGTGCCTGTTTGCTAATATTACCTGGTGTAAATTTCTCACAGTTGTGTTTCAGTGTCTCTATGAGAAGTGAATGTGCACAAGTGGAAACTGAGATCAGTGAAATGTGCCACTGTGTTAATATACAGTGTTTCTTTCTCTGTTTTATACACAAGGCATTCCCCTAAAACTTAAATCCTGTGTGTGTGTGTGTGTGTGTGTGTGTGTGTGTGTGTCAGTGAGTAGTGGGAGGTTGTTGTAATTTACTTGCTGCTATCACTTCATCTCCAGTTGTGTTTTATTGCATTGCTCTGCAGCACCATCCTTTCATAAGAATGGCAGTGAGAGACATTTATGTGAGTAATTATACCTGCTCACAGTTGCATCCTTGTTTTACCTCTCGCTGATGGATGAGATGTTGCATTACCTCTGAATTGTGGGTGTGCTCCGTCGCTGTTTGTGTGCCAATGTAAGTGAATGAAGGAATGTGTGTGCGTGGGGGTGTGTGTAATTCTTGTCTGATTATGACAGAAAAAAAACACTTTTAATACACAAGTGCGCGCACACACACACACACACACACAAATCGGTCCGGGTGACACCAAAGCCACAACCCAAATGTACTGGATTTAATGAGGAGTGAGGAGGGGATGTTCTAAATGTTGTATTTAATTTGATTTAGCATTTTCATGAGCCCGTGCCTCATCCTCAAATCACGTTAAGATGTTTAGAGTCGCGGCGGCTCATCCACTTTCAGCCATCGCCGTTAATGAATGCAGCCGATTTCCATAAAATATTCTTAAAGAAGTCCGTTATTATTACCATAACGTTTCATCTCCCACCATAGCTAAACTTCAATCAGTTTTGCATTTGAAATGCATTAAATGTCTCCATAAACTCTTCTAATATCTACCTGAGTCATTTTTCTTCTTTAACTGGTATGTGTGGAAGGGGAAACTAATATTAAGGACATTAATTACACTGTTTTTTTGTTTTTTTTTTATCCACCACTCTTTTGCTGCTTATTTCTGATTGGAAATTTCAGTCTCATCCTGTGTTTCAAAAACAAGTGTGTAATTATGTTGTTTATCAGAGCGTATAGTTGTATTCCTCTTATGATGTTTAGGGTTAATTATTCCAAAGGCCTCTGATGCACATGCTCACATGAAAACTGAAAATCCCCCGTATTAATTTTGCACTCCAACAAACCTGCATCGCTTGGCTGTTTGCTCCAATAGAAAGGAGTGTGTGGCTGCTGTGGAGTTTGTGTGATGTCTTCATTTAAACAGCGGGAGTCACAGTATCACTTTGTAATTGTTCAGACTGCAAATGGAGACAGGTGTTTCCTCATGGGGCCACCGGAGGATATTTTCCATAGCAGAAACTAATCTGGGGATTGTTATAAAGGCTCATCGTGCATCTTTATGCTCCTATATGCAACCAGCTTCAAGTGCTTTATTCAGTCTGTGGCTTGCACCGCTGGTAAAAACAAATTGAAGCTTCAATGAAGGAAACCAAGCATTTCTTCAAACTAAACAAGAGAAGGCAGGTCCCATTCTCCCTTCATGTTAAATCTAAGAGCCTGAAGATAAACATCAGCCCTGGAATCTCTTTAATACATCTTGCGTGTGTGTGAGGTAATAAGAGCAGTAGGTTCTCTAAGGTACAACAACCTCCACCTTATAAAAAATCACCAGACACTTCCTTTGTCTGGGCAAGTTGTTTACTTGCCTGAAAAATGGATTGGTTGCTTCCTTCTTTGACCACCAGGTGTCACTCTTGGGCTGTATTTGTTCAAAATCTGGGGGGGAAAACAGCTGCTGAATAAAAGCTGTATAATTTCTACAAGTCACTTACTGCGTGGTGAATAAAAGCTCCCTTATTTATAGGAGGAGGGTTTAATGGATTTGTGAAATGATGTAATGGGCTGTGATTGAGGAATTCAGAGTTTAGGGTCTCGGAAAGTCGTCAGCACATAAAACTAACTGATGAAGGTTTTCACATAACAAGGCCGGCATTGAATTATTCACAGTTCTCCAGCATGAAGATTTTATTTTTAATCTGCATGAAGTTATACAGTTTTTTTTGTTGTTTTTTTTTAATTCTGCTTGATTCAATGAATCCTTTGAATCCTCTAAAATATGAAATGATTCTTTGCAGAGGTGTATATCATTTTATTACTGCCTCAACAAGTCTACCTATGCCTGTGTGAGATGAATAAATATTCTCATCTTTACACTGGGATGACACTTCGACTTATATTCCACCTTACAAGCCCGTACAAAACTCAATATCACACATTAGGATGATGGTTTTCTACATGTTCTCTACTTATCACAACTTTTTCTGAATCAGCCTCAGTTGTTTACGACGCTCAGTGAGTCTGTGTTCTCCTCGTATTCCCAGATGACCAGGAATCAAAGGCTGATGATGGAAACACTGATGACAAAGCCCCTCAAGAGCAGCCGGCTGAGGAGGTAAAAGCAAAGAGCAGTGCACGTGACAGACTGTTCAGTAATGACAACTTAATGGAGATAGACTGGAGGCAGGTGTACATTCGGTTTGATGGGCCCGGATGATGTTAATATCGTGTTATTATTGTATTCATATCAACAGTAATTTGCTGAGTCTGATGCAATCTTTAAAAAAAACATAATATCAAGGAGGTTTCTCAGATTTTATCTGTGTCTGTTTGTTTGCAAAAACACAACTGGACAGAAACTTTGATGATTGGTGTGATATAGGTTAAAGGAAGAATCTGTTCAATTTTAGTGCACATCTGGATCATCATCAGATACTTCTCGGAGAATAATGAATGGGTCTTGATGAAAAACGTATAATAAGTGTGAAATTTGGTGCACTCTCATTAGTGGCATTCTAGTAATTGTAGGATGCAGAACTAATAACAACGCTACCCATTAATGTTTAACCGTTATTATATAATGATATAATTGTTATTTCATGATGTTAATTAATATCTATTGGTTAATATACCATTGGACACATGCCTTTCTGCTTCCTCCACTACTTGTTGTGCACTGATTGACATTCCATTAGAAGGCTCTCGAGGGAAAAACACTCAATTTGTAAGAGCTCATGACTCTAGTCATGAGCTTGCTGTCGCTCTTCCAGGGAGGTGTAGGTCACAGGAAGAATTATTGTAAGCAATCTGATTATACCATATGCATACCTATTCAAATATAGTATTGAGAGCTTTAAATTGTTTCCATGGGATTATTCCATTACAGAAACCGGCAGATGATGATGCAAAACCTGCGGAAGAGAACAGCGAAAAGTTAGGAAAGCAGAACCCTCCAGACAAAGATTCAAAACCTGCGGAGGAGAGTGGTGAAAAGGAGGAAGAGCAGAAGGAAGCTGCTGCTGAAAACACCAAAGATGAAGAAGAGGATGCTTCTGCCAGCAAAGCAGATCTGGAGGAAAACCAGGAGACAAATGGTGAAACAGAGGGAGGGGAAGAGAAGAAGGGAGATGAAGAGCCAAGTGAAAAAGAGGGTGAAGCAACAGCAGAACCTGAGGAGAAAGAGGACGAGGTAAAAGAAGAAGCAGGGGAGGAGGTCACGGATGAGAGCAAGGAGGAGGTGAAGGCTGAGGAGCAGAGGTCTAGCAGTAGCAACAGTGATAAGAGCCGGGACAGTACAGAGAAAGAGGATGGAAGCCATGCATCTTCTGAGGGTGAAAAGGACGAGCAGGGCAAAAACACAGAAGAGGAGAAGCGAGATAAAGTCAGCGAAAAGGGGGAGAAAAGCAGCGAGGATGAGAATAATGATGTAGACGCAGAGGAGGAACAGAAGGAGACGGAAAACGACAGCGACCCAGGGAAGACTCAGTCAGATAACGAGACAAAGGACGACGATAACGACAAAAGCAGCAGTGGCAACAGTAACCAGGAGGAAGATGTGAGCGAGACAAAAGAGGGGGCTACCGAAGAGTCAGGGGGAGAGGAGAGGAAGGAGAACGGAGAGGTCGAGGGAGTAGAAGATGATGAGGTGGAGAGAAACGCCGAGCTGGACACGGAGGACAAAAATATTGCCGGACCCAAGGATACGGCAGCAAATGGAGAGACAGGGGAGGGTGATGAAGTGAAGGAAGAGGAGGAAAGAGAAGGAGGAGAATTAGAAAAGAAGGAGAAAATGTGAAAGTTTATTGGGTTGAGCGGTGCTGAAGACGCAAAGCGATATTTTACAATATGTAAAAAAGCAAATACATGGAAGGCAAAGCCCAACATGACTGCAGACATATTTACTAGATGGCCTTTAAGAAGTCACCCTGAAAAGAAAATTATTTTACATCACAGAGCAAGTAATATAATCTCTAAATGGCTAACAGTTAAAAAAAATAAGGTTTTAGAAAATTCTGGTCAACTGTTTTATTCATAACTAAATATTCCTTAAAAACATAATCCATGTCTGAAAGAGATAAACAACAAATACAAACTACTTATATACTTTCATTTTCCATTTACAAGTACTGTGAACCTCTGAGCTGCTTTATTGTGAAACACTGTGACCACGGTAGTGAGTGATGCAGGGAAATTTAAATATACACACTAACATTACGTTTTTAAATCCAATAATATAAGTTTACTCACAGGTATGATTCTGTTAGCTGCTTGTTTCAATATGTTTTTGTATGTATGATGTCTTTGTCCCAGAGCACGTGACGCATATGATCTTTGTAAGTGAGTACAATGAGCTACATGTGATTCTGTATGTGTCTGACGGTTATATAATTAGGAATGTAGCTAGGAAGTCTTCTTTATAAAGCTGTTCCACTTTATTTGTATTTATTTTTTTCTTCTACCAAATAAATAAACAAGACAAATAAATTCAATATTTAAATGATGCTTTATTGTATCAGACCTTTGAGCCTCTCAATCCTTCTAAATTCTGCTTGTTGATTCATCATGAAAACGATGCTATTGTATTGAAAAATGAAAAGAAAAACAACAATGAAAAGAAAACTTGAATTGGACAATCTACTTTATGTGAGTATACAAGTATTTATGTTTACTGCGGTGAAGGCGGGATGTTCTTTACTTGTTATTTTTAGTTACAACTTCATTCTCGTAAAGCTGTCCTCACTGAACATATCGATTCTGGATGAAGTATCTGCATCTGTAACTTTGAATGAAAGTAAGAATAGGAAATACTAGGAAATAGTAGCATTTACTTAAAAGCAGATGGTTTCTCAATCAGAAGCCATTACAATTTCCAGAATAGTTTTCATTATAATGTTTACAATAATAATCACTATTTCACTGGGTATATAAACTGTTTGACTGATTCCAACACTGACCACACTGAATCTATTCCACATCTGCAGAGTGTGTAAATGACAATCACCTGGACATTTGGAGGAACTTAGTGGGGGTTTGGTTTTAAACCCTTGGATGCAGGTCATAGATTTAAAGGTCCAGTGTGTAAGATTTAGGTGATTTAGATTTAGGTCATCTCAACTGTATGAATTGTAGTTTTCTTTACCCCAGAAAACACCCTTTATATTTAAATACTTTATATTTACATCGAGGGGTCCCTCTCTACAGAGGCTGCCATGTTTTTTACATTAGTCCAGACTGGACAAACTAAACACCTTTTGAGTTTTTATGACAACTGAAGTTCACCACAGGTTCTTTTTCATGTTTGGAAGGGGAGGGTGAGGTGAGGTGTGTTCAGCTGCAACATGCAACTTCAACACTAGATATCACAAAAAAACCCCACAAAATTCTACAAACTGAACCTTGTGAAGTGTCATCACATCAGCAGTTTTCACATCATTGAATGAGTTAGCCTCTCTAAAGAGCTGATCGGCCTTGGCTTTATTAATTTACAGTTTAAAGCCCTAAATGGCAACATGACATCTTGTCTTCAGTCCTAAAGCTTAAAGTACCCACTGATGTCGCAGGAGTGTTGAACAACATGATTCAATATGTGTTGCTGAGCAAACTGATCCTTACAACTAAAGGTTAGCACATATTAGAAACAAAGCTGTTTAGTTAAGTTGAATGCACATCATATACGGTGAGTGTAGTGTGTTTTTTATCGTTGTACTTTATAGCGAATTATACTGGCAACATCACATGGGGCATTAGGTTGAAAGGCAAAAATCACTGTTGTT